ATACTTTTGCAGAGAGGGTGAAATAGCACAACCGTTTGAAAAATAATTTGGGGGATCCCTGGGTGGCGCAGTGGTTTGGCGCCTGCCTTTGGCCCAGGGCGCGATCCTGGAGACCCGGGATCGAGTCCCACGTCGGGCTCCTGGTGCGTGGAGCCTGCTTCTCCCTCTGCCTGTGTCTCTGCCTCTCTCTCTCTCTCTCTGTCTCTGTGACTATCATAAATAAATAAAAATTCAAAAAAAATTCTTGAAAAATAATTTGGCGTCATCTAGTAAATTTGAAGATGCTCATCATTCCGTATGACCCAGCACTTCCATTCCAACGTATGTCCATATGTCCATGTGCACCAAGAGATGTAGATCGGAATGTTTATACGTGGTGATTCATAAAAGCCCTAAATAGAGAAACAACTCAAATCTCCATCAGCAGTAGAACAGATAAGTATATTGTTTATAAAATGGAATTCCATGCGTCATCACTGAATATGGATGAACTAACTACATGCAACAACTTGGGAGAAGGAGTCCTATTTCACAAACATAATATTGAATAAGAGCAGCCAATCACGAAATTACAATGAATGATTACATTCAAGTTTAAGAAAAAACCCCAGGAAAAATGAAATTATGGTGCAGAGTCACTTAGTTTGTAAAATTTTAAAGAAAAACAAGGAAGTGATTATTTTCCAAATGAAGATGGTGTGGCTTCCTTTGTTGGAAGGCAAGGCAAGTAGTTAGGAGAGGAGGAGAGAGGTGCTTTGTGGGTACTAACGATGTTCTCTTCCTTCAACTGGGTGGGTATCTATACAAATGATTGCTTTGTAATATCCCACAAAACTATACATCTTGTTTCGTGCCCCTTTCGGAATGTATATTTTATTTAACAATAGATGGGATGAAATGGTTTAAAATGTAAATTACTTACTCTGTCCACTTTAAATATGGCAATAAACCAAACTGCTTTCGGGTTCCTTGAAAACACCGGAAGTCCTTAATGTAACTATTTTTCCAACAATACTTTAATGAATCCTTTTGTTTAGTTAATGTATTCTCCTATTCTAGTTCCTACATAACTTTGCGTTAATTTGGGCAAGTAAATAAATGTTGAATGGGAATCGAATGCTCTGAAGTCATCTGGATAAACACCTTGTTTAACCCTTAGATTACTCTGTATATTTATTTTGGTTTCAGAACTGATTTCAATTGTTAAAGTAGAGAGAGACTAGTAGTAAAATTACTGGAGTAAGGACTTAACAGTTTGTGAATATAATGAAAAAAATTCTTGTATATACCTACCTGACCTACTCCAAACAGACCTACTGCATGATAGATGCGATTTCCATGACATACTGATAGAATAAAATGAATCTTATTTGAATCAATGATTATTGATAAATAATAAAAATATCATCATTAACTATAATCCACACCATACCTTGGACCAACAAATTTAATTTTATTCCTTTCTAAAAATATGCTCTACTGCTGAGAAGGGTCTCAGAGAACAAAATTAAGTAATTGGTTTTTAAGCACCTGTCGGTTCTAAGATGTAACCCCACTTGCAAGCTAACAGCTTTAGCTGGCCAGAGTTTTATGTCTGCCATAGAAGAAGTTGCGAAACCCTTGGGTTAGAGAGAAACAACTTTATCACTCAGGCACAGAAGCAGTCTAAGCACCAGCATATTTTATGCTTGCTTCCTGAGCCCGGATTCCTACAAGCCTAAGAGAAGAGGGTCAGATTGGTACACATAGTGGGTGGCATTACATACAGGACGGTAGCTTTGAGATCAGGGAAGCAAACCTTACACTCGGATGGAGGTACTACTATCCCTAGCTTCCAATTCCCTTCCAAAGTTGTGCACTATACACACTGTACACACAGCCTTGAGAAGAGTCTGGAAAAAAACAGTTCATGCTCTGCACCTGAGGCATTCAGAAATACAAGAGGTCTATGGAGCGCTGTCTCTCCGTATCAGGGAAATCTCTTTATAAACCCTCTTGCTGCAGTTCATACGAACACACATTTTCTTCAAGTTCTAGAATATTGGCCAAAAATAAATTTTTCAAAGGTTTTTAAACTGTGAACCGAATTATTTTAATAGTTCACATTATACTCAAAATGCTTTTGAAGAGTCATAATTATATAAAGTCCTAGAAGGATATTATATATGGGTGTGTATGAATGAGTGAGCGAGTGTGTGTTAGTTTCTTACTTCAAGTGTAAATTCCTTGGGAATAATGACTGTGCGCGTGTGTAATGTATTCTCTTATTCTGTTTCTTTCAAAACTTTGCACTAATTTAATGAATAAAATGCTAAAGGTCTGTCCTCCCTCTTTTTTTTTCTTCTCTTTGTGAACACCATTGCTGAAGAACAACAAAAAGTGTGCACCTGTACCCTGAGTGTTCTAACGGTCATCGGGGAGGACAGGTTCTCCCAGCTTGGAGACCACCTATTCTACGCTTAGAGCCCAGGACAATGCCCACCCCGCAGTGGAGCTCAGGAAATACTGGTTGCATTGTGCAGACTGGAATTTAGGGCTCGTTCTATCTAGTCTGTAAGCCCAAGTTGCTCTCCGTGACACCTCGGGAATACATGCTGTGCGTTGAAAAGAGAAAACATTCCTTGCCCTCAAACCCTTGGAAGTCACCTTAAGCCCCAAGCCATCCATTTATGATGATTCTAGTCTGCAGACGGATACAAGTCCGGGGAACGAGCGCACGTGTCTGCAGAAACGTTTGCTTTATTATGAGATGAGAAATGAGTCGAGGGGTGTCCTTCCCCTGGGACTCTTTTCCTTTTCCTTTTGCGGGCCCAGGTGGCCCATGGCACTCCAGCAGCCGGGCCTTACGGCTGGGACACTATTCGTAGAAGTTCCTGCGGAGGTTTCGTCATCCACGCGGCGCTCTGGAACCCCTCTGCTCTTCTGGGCGAGAGCAAACATTTCTGGCGACAGGCAGTGCCCGAAGTCCCGAGGATTTCCGGACACTTTGCACCGCGGCGCGGTCGCCCGGGGGCCCGGAGAAGGTGAGTTGGCGCGAACCGACCGCTCGGGGTCTTGTCCCCATAGGGCGGGGGGCGCGGGGTGGGGGGGCGGCCTGGGGAGGGGGCGCTGCGGAGGGGCGCGGAGGGAGGAGGGGGCACGGGGGGCTGCAGGGAGGGCGCGGGGGGGTCCGGGGGGGCATGGGGGACCGCGGGGGGGCCTCGGGGGGAGGAAAGGGGGCGCGGGAGGACCGCAGGCGGGCACGGGGCTGCTGCAGGGGGCACGGGGACCACCGGGGGGCGCAGGGGGGCGCAGGGGGGAGCTCGGGGGGGTGCGGGGTGGGGGGAGGCGGCCGGGCATCGCGGCTCCGCCCGGCCAGGTGTCGCCCTCCCGGGGCCCTGCGGGGGAGCGGCGGCGGGAGGAGGCTGCGGTCGGGGCCGGGGCTGTTTGGACGCGGCGGAGGGTGGCGGCCGGGCCGGGGCGGCGGGAGCGGGGTGCGCGCGCGAGCCGAGGGGGCGCTTACGTCGCAGCTCGAGCGGAGCTGGGGTGGTTAGAGCCGAGTCCTCGGAGCCGCGCAGCCCGAGCCGCAGCCGCAGCCGCAGCCGCAGCCGCAGCCGCAGCCGCAGCCGGAGCAGCAGCAGCAGCAGCAGCAGCCGCCCGGAGGGGCGCGCCCCCCGCAGCAGCCCCGCCGCCCCCCGCAGCCCGGCGCACAAAGGCGGCGGCCGCCCGCCCGGCCTCCTCCCGCCGGCCTCCTCCCGCCGCCTCCCGGGGGCGCGAATGGCCTCGCGGGGCGACGACCTGGGGCTCGGGGGGCCCTAGGTCGGCGCGCCCCGGCCCCACCCCGCCGGCCGGGAGGGGGCGATGCGGGCCCGGGGCCCCGCCGCCCGCCGCCGCCGCGCTGCAGCCCGCGGAGCCGAGTGGGTGCCGCCGCCTCGGGCGCCGCTGGACGCCGGGGAGAGCCCCCGCCCCCGCCTCCGCCCCCGGGGCTGCCGGTAGGAGGCTTCGGGCAGCTAGGCACCTTCCCCTTTGGGTCCCCGCTCCCCTGCTCCACCTCCTCCACCCCACCCCACCCTCACATTCTGGAAGCTCCGGGGAGGGAGCGATCCCTGCCCTCCCTGCGCACCCCCACCCCCGGGACAACCCCGTGGGAATAAAGGGCTGGAGGCAGGCCGAAGTTGCGGGTGGGGCTGGGGCTGGGGCGGGGGGGGGGGCAGACCCTTCTGGTGCCTTCTGAGATCACCCTGTGTCTGCCTGGGAGGGGAGAAGGGAAGGTGCGCGATCTGCAGCGTCTCCGCCTAATTGGAACCTAATCGCTTTAAACAAAATCTTACAAACGTCTTTTTTTTTTTTTTAATAACCTCTTGGAATAAAGCAGAAGGAAAAATAAGCTCCTTTCTCCGCCCTCCCCCCCCTTTCCCTTTCTCTCTTTTTCTCTCTGCCGAAGACGCTCCCTCCCCGCCCCGGAGCTCAGCGCCGGAGAGCCACCTTATTATTAATCGGAATTGCCACCGCGGGCCCTGGCAGGCGCATCCTTCAGGGGGGACCAGGGAAGCGGCGCGGAGCTGCGGCTGAGATGTGCGCGGGGGCGGTGGTGGTTACATCTCGGAAGAGAAGAGGACGCTCCCCGGATCAGTGCCAAGCGTGCAGGGTGGGCTTCGGGGCATTCTGTTAGGATTGAGGAAGGACAGGGGGTGCTGGGCCCTCCGCAGGTCCGCATCCCTGTAAGGGAGAGGGGAGAGGAAACCAAAGTGAGGCGTCTTTTTTTTTTTTTTTTTTTTTTTAAGAGGTGGGAAAAAGAAGTTTATACCCCCCAGAAGGGGAAGAAAAAAAAAAAAAGCTGCGGGAAAGCAGGAGCAACAGGGTACTAGCCTGGACACTGAGACAAAAAAAATTTCCTGTGCAGAAGAGGAAGCAGGCTGCAGAGAGGCCCGGAGGCCGCACGCAGCGCGGTGGTGGCAAAGGCCAGGTGTGTTGTTGCGGGACAGTCAAGAGGAAAGGAAGGTTCAGGAACAAGGGGAACAATGACTCATTTACAAGCTGGTCTCTCTCCCGAGACCCTGGAGAAAGCTCGCTTGGAGCTCAACGAGAATCCAGACACGCTGCACCAGGACATCCAGGAGGTGAGGGACATGGTCATCACCAGGCCGGACATCGGCTTTCTGCGCACAGATGATGCCTTCATCTTACGCTTCTTGCGGGCCAGGAAGTTTCATCACTTTGAGGCCTTCCGCCTCCTGGCCCAGTACTTTGAGTACCGGCAGCAGAACCTGGACATGTTCAAAAGCTTCAAGGCCACGGACCCTGGCATCAAGCAGGCTCTGAAGGATGGCTTCCCCGGGGGCCTGGCCAACCTGGACCACTATGGCAGGAAGATTCTAGTCCTTTTTGCAGCCAACTGGGATCAGAGCAGGTAAATCCTAAATTCAGACTTGTACTAGGGGTTCTTTTACTCTCCCATTTTCCAGAATTTACCCTGAGTGTCATAGTTTTACAGCTTTGATGTTTGTGCTCATTTGGCTGGGGAAAAAGAAATTGGAACTACAAACTGGGGGTCTGGGAGGGTGATCTAGGGGTGGGAGTAAGGCTTTTATTTTTACCTTTGAAACTCTCACTTCGTGAGCACCTAGTCTCTACTGCAGCTTTAAGTGCTTCCTGAACCATATTACTGTGCTGCAGTCTAAAAGCATTCAACTTCTAAATAAAGCCGCTAAATTTTTCACCTCTTGAATAAGTTTACTGTTCTGTGGAGAAATGAGGATGAGGATGGAGACAACTTTTCCTCCTTCCTCCTAATGAAATTCTTAAGCTAGATTCATCATCATCATCACCATCACCATCATCATCATCACCATCATCATCATCGTCATCATCATTTCTCTCCTCAGTACTGAGGTTTTATTTTTTAATAGTAGCCTGGCATTCAACCAAGATCAAGTAGTTTTGTTCGCTTGGGAACTTTTCTGCTTGGTGATGTGTAGATGAAGGAATAATATGATGTGTGTCACTTCAATGAGAAGGAAGAGTTGTACCCTCTGTCGCTGAGCATGCCTACTGACACTGAAAATAAAGACTGACTGGTGTGCTCGTTCTACACCTGTCACTAATCTAAGGAATGTGTTTCCTGTCTGATGTGATTTTTCATCTTTCATAAGGAAGTGGAAAATGTTCAGACATGGTAGTTGGTAGACTTTTTTGAGCTCTCTTGCTTTTTAATGGAGGAGAAATTATATTCTTATTTCATCTGTATCATAACAGACAAATGGAGAGGGGGACTATTTCACTGCCTCAATCAAAATTATTTTCTCAGACTGAAAGACATAAATTATGAAAGGGTCTTGTGTAAGGTAGTTTCAATTAAGTTCAAAGCTAAATATATTTCATGGGACTTGAAAATGTTACCAGAACTATGAATCATGAGGAACTGGTTGTTATAACATTGGTGTATTTTTAGTTCTGTGAATGGTGACTTTTGATGCATCTGGTTAGTTGAAAACATCTCTGGAACAATTGTAAAAGACTTTTATAGTTACTGAGAAAGCTTATTGATCTTATGGCTTTCTAGAAAGGCTTCTCAGACTGTTTTGTAAATGAAAGGGTTTTACTCTTTAGTTATTCACCTGTTCCCTGTGAGTCTAAGTTGAGAACTACTCTAACTTCTTTTAGGTAAATACAAAGAAAATTACTACCTGAGGAATCATAAAGCCAAGAAACTTACAGAGTTAGCTACTGAGGGGGAATGGAGTTCCATTCCTTATTTTGATTATCACTCTACTTTTTATTGGGTGGCAAAGTTTAGAGGATTGTGAAATGCTACCTTCTGACCACAGTTTCTCTTTAAGAAGTTCCCATCCATCTGAGATGTACATTGTAGGGTCATATAAACCAATTATTGTATATATCAAAATTGAAAAAAAATATTCAAGAAAGAACCTAATCCATATGACAGTGAGATTGGTATTCTGTTGATTGAGCTACAGTGAAATGGGAGCTGTGGAGATTTTACATTTAAATATATCTCAGAGTCTGTCAAAGATACCCATAGAGGGGCAGATTGCATTCAGACAGACGTGCATATAGATCAGAACTTTTTTCACTTATCTTTATAAGTGAACTGATATTCACTAATTAAGATCAAAGTCACTTATAGTTCTCATGTATATGGGCAGTTGATGACTCCAGATTTACTAAAGGAACTGTGTTTTAGTCGTCTGTCTTATTCTTTCATGTAAAGGATATGGTCATGAAGATCTAGCTCCTTGGAAATCTATAATGGGAGATGATTTATTATTTGGTATGTAAAATCATTTTTTATTAAATCTACACAAAATCCTAGACATTAGAATTTCATATATGTGAGGTTAACAATGAGAAGCTATGCCCTGTACAAATACTCTATCGGGACTTACAGACTAAAAATTGTGGATTCTGTTTCTGCGGTTGGAAATAAACATGTATAATCAAAAAGTTATAGTTTGTCAAGATCAGAAGGTATATGAGTTATATAGAGCTGGTCTAAAATTCCTCCTAAATCATTCCTTCCTTCTTCCTACCTGCCCCCCATCTCAGATCCGTATATATCCAGTGACAAGGACTAGTGGATCAACAGTTCTATCCTCTTGACATACTCTCTAGACTTTTATCATTGGGACATGTGCATAAGAACTGCCCTGAAGCCTGCAGGACGGTTTCTGGCAGTACCTTCCTTCCAGTATCAGGATAGCACCATCACTTTTCCTACCTTGGGTCTGAATCTCTTTCCTTTCTACACTCTGCAGCCCCCCTTATCTCAGAAATCTGTGCTTCCTTACCTCGATGTTTACCTTACTACTGTTCTCTTAGGTGGACATGCCACATGCCGAATTCTCTTGGTCCCCATGCCTCTCCTGTCCTGTGAGTCCTATCCCACTCTCATCCTGTCAGACCACACAGCTTGGGTCTCTTGAGAAGACTGCACATGTGATCATAATTCTGACCACCTTCCTTAAGTTGTTCAGTGAATTGCCTGGCTTTCAACATTTTTTTTTTAAATAGCGTTGTTTTAAGAAAGTAAAATAGCATTGTTTTAAAGAAACAATAGATGGGAATGTCCAGGATTACACAGGGAAATTCCAGAAATGAAAGTGTCCCTTTTATTTGGAAAATAGGCTATTTCCGACTTCCTAAAGGGAAAAGCAAGACTTTTTTTAAAGAAATTTTGAAAAATTTTGTAAAGACCTCTGAAATAACTGATCTGTATAACAGAAAAGACAAAATCTTGGTCTTATCATATTTATAATAACATGCGAACCAGAGTTAATGCTAATTGATATTTGTTGCAGTGAGTTATGCATCAAAAAATATTCTAAGTAGGAAGTTACCCGATATATACTTTATCCTATGTTCAATTTGTAGGACAGTGTTCTGTGCTCCTCAGGAGACTAGCAACAGTAAATGTGTGTGAGATAGTGACTATAAATAAAATAGTGTCTCTTTCTACTGCAGTGTGGTGCAGATTAGTTTCAGGTTATGGCAAAGAATTGGACCATTTCCAAATCTTTTATAGGAGACATGGAATCTTCAGGAAGACTAAGGTAAAATAATAATGTTTACAGTGTACCTGCCTTTCAACATATCTAAAAAATAATTGAAATACTGAAATGTCAGAATGCCTTCCAATGTGGTCTGTGGGTGTTCTAAAAAGGATAGACCAGGGCCAGATGATTTATTACACGTGTTGAGATTCATGGTACATTTGTTGAGGACCTTGGTAAAGATTCATACAGTTTTATCTCATTTCTCTCAGATTGTTTAACATAAATTTCTGAAAACAAGAGCGAATTCCACAAAATTAAAAACAATTAATTGTTTAGTACGCCAGCTCACTAAGGGTGGAGTAGTTTTTTCACACATTACATGCTGTATTTCCTTCCTGAATGATAGTGCCCGGCTTGGGACTCAGCAGGTACCTTCAGTTGTCACCCTGATTGCAACCGTAGCGTATGAGGATCATGTAACGTGAAGCAAGAAGAGATCATACTGTCTCAAGAGAAGGAAGTTTGGAATGAAAATAGATCACAGTTTAGACTCTAGAGCACAGGAGCAGATATCTGAGAGGTTGAATTCACTGGAAAATAAATTTTGTGAATATTCATGAGTAAATTGGGTCACCTGAAACATAATGATGACATGCATTCTGATAGTCGGCCTGTAGGTCATAAGTAGTATTTTACCTCACTAGACGTATAAAGCAGCTCTCTAAATATTTGCACATAAAACAAGCATTTATCTGGAATCTGGTTAATAACCATTGGAAAACAAATACAGTTAAACCAAAATGATTCCTAATATAGAGGCAATTCAGAAGCGCTGACCATCCTGCATTATGTTTGGCTTGTCGTGATACACATCGATTATCATTTATAATACTGAAGCTCTAGAAGGGGTGCAAGAGCCACGGGTCAAACATCATGCTGTGATTCTCTAACGTATCCTGGAATTTTCCTACAAAACATATTATTGTCAGCTTGTTTGTTCCTACTGTGTGGCTTTTTCACACACACACACACAAAAAAGAAATAATGACATCTGCCAGTTCAGAATGAATTATGATTAGGCGCCCATGTATTAAAATAATGTGGTCAGTCTCCAAATTGCAAGAACGTCATGTTGACAATAAATTAAAATTTTAAAATAGCCATAGACTATACAGATATGTTTTAATCCCAGCCACAAAGTCTTACTCTTCTCTGGAAGTGCACTAAAATCAAATAAAACAAAATAAAGTAAAAATTACTAAGAATAATCAAGGGTAATCAACTAGATAATTAGGGCGAAACACTCATACTCAGGAGTCTTAAGAGCAAAAACCAAAACACCAGAAGAATATAGGCTTACTTTTGAGGCCTCATTTTTGAAGACTTTGTGTCCCTGTTTATTAAAGTGTATATTTATTTTCTTTAAATATGTTTCAACTTTTTGTTTTACAGTGTTATATATCATGTCAAGCTCAGGAATGTTCACCCTTCAAATCCTGGAAGCATTGTTGTGCTGTGTTATGGGTGGATTTTGAGATTCAGTCAAAACTGGAAATGGCAAGTGTGGATTCCATGGGACTTCAGTCCCCACAGAGCTTCTGTGTTGCTTCCTATAAGGAGGCTCTTTTCACAAATATTCTGGAAACTGCAGCTCATTCCAAACCATGCTTTGGTTCATACCATGGAAAATGGGAAAGAAAAAAAAAAAAAACATTGTCCTGACAAATGTTAGTGGAATATTGGACAAATTTCTGGAAAAAATAGGACGGTCCCTAGAAACTGGGGCAATTATACAGTAATTAGTGAAATAATCTTGAAATAACCACAAAGACCAAGAGTGCCAACCTTAAAGTAGGATGTTGATGGGGTCTGGCTTGAACAGGGCTATTTTCACGTT